GACAATCTCATTTTGGAAATCTGATATGGTGTTAGGGTAATTGAACATGGACCGCTACAGGGATCGTTGCCACCTGAAGTTTTTAGCTTACCTCAGATCCAGCAAGTGTAAGTCTACAACAATGTCAAAAAAAATCTTTTTACATATCCATGTAAGAAGTGTAGTAAGCTTGCTGGTGTGATCTTGTAAAATACTGACAGGAAACTGAAGAATAATGCATTGAGCGACAAATTAGATATGGGCAGTAACATTAGCCAGAACCTTCAACTAACTGATTTGCAGGACAATGATATATCATCAGTTACGCTTAGTTCTGAATACAAAAGTACATTAATGTAAGAGATTTTATTGCACATGGAAATTGGAGGAGCTAGGCATGTATGTTTTACCCCTAATCATTGAATCTCTTTTTGTGTGTTTCAGATTAATTGGGAACCCTGTGTGCGAGACTGCACCAGAGAATGCAGTTTACTGTCATCTTCAACAGTTGGTTAGACCTTATTCGACCAGCCTAGCAAATTGTGGAAACAAATTGTGTTCCCCTGAAGAAAAATTGAACCCGCAAAGTTGTGAATGTGCTTATCCATACGAAGGAACGTTATACTTCAGAGCACCCTCCTTCAGGGAATTGTCTAACACGAGTGTGTTCCATTCTCTAGAAATGAGCCTTTGGTTGAATCTAGAGCTCTCTCCTGGGTCAGTTTCTCTGCAGAACCCCTTCTTCAACGTTGACGACTATCTTCAGGTGCAGCTGGATCTCTTTCCGTCCAATGCAAAGTATTTCAATCGGTCAGAAGTTCAGAGACTTGGTTTTGCATTAACTAGACAAACTTACAAGCCTCCAAAAGAGTTTGGACCCTACTATTTTACAGCAGATTCGTACATTTTTCGAGGTAAATTTGGATTTGCTTATAATTCTAGTCCAAAAGCAATTCGTCAGCATCACATTAATATTTGAAAACTATTAATAATAAAAATGGTCCAGATGAACGCCGGGGAACTCGTGTTAGCTCGGGTGTGATTGCTGGGATTGCTACTGGCTGTGCATTTTTGGTCCTGGTGCTTGCAGGGCTAGCGACATATGCTCTACGACAAAAAAGACGTGCTGAACAAGCCATATCATTAAGCAAACCATTTGGTAATTCTCACTTCTATGGTATTGAGTTTTGATATCATGGCTCTGTTTTTGATATGGTACCTCTTCCAAAATTTCTTAATATCTTAATTCCCTGCATCCAGCATCTTGGGCTCCAAGTGGCAAAGATAGTGGAGGAGCACCACAACTAAAAGGAGCTAGATGGTTCTCTTATGATGAGATCAAGAGATGCACAAATAACTTCTCTCAAAGCAATGAGATTGGCTCTGGAGGCTATGGCAAAGTTCGTGATAAAGAATAACAACTGGTACCTGTAGAACATTGATCTATTCTCATCTCTCATATTACTTGTTTTTGGGTTTTATAGGTGTACAGGGGAATGCTCTCAAGTGGACAAGTAGTTGCAGTCAAAAGAGCTCAACAAGGTTCAATGCAAGGTGGACTCGAGTTTAAGACTGAAATCGAGTTGCTTTCACGAGTTCATCACAAAAACCTTGTTTCCCTTGTGGGATTTTGCTTTGACCAAGGAGAACAGATG